ATACGATGTTATGGGTACTGAGTGGAGATCATGAACCTCTTCTTAGGAATGCACCCTTTCCATGGTTTTCAATTGGAGACCACTTCAAAGGCGGTGTGGCAGTTCTTAGGTATGGCACATGTAAACGCTTGCAGTGCACTCATGGCAGCCGTCATGTACGCTCAAACTGAAATCAAGCACTTCGTTCTCTTTGTTACCTGTTCTGAGGTAGGTAAAATGAACTCCTTTCCTCCACGTGTATATTTCCCCTTATTGAATGTAACCAGCCAAACTTCAAATAATATATAATATAATGCGATAGCTTCGTTTCTTAAATGCACACTTTTGACCCTACAGGGCGAAGACGTTGCACAACATACCCCTGACTGCAAATATCTTTCGACCCTAGTAGGTTGCCTCAATTACTAAAGCGCCTTTCTGCACCCCTGTGTGCTCTTCTTTACGGAGTACAGGGTGCGCCCACACACTTCCTCTTTGTCGCATAGGTCAGTGAAATAATCTAGTACCTTTGCGCTTGGCTACGCAGGCACTGACAGGATGCCGATGCCACTCAGAGTGGCCAGTACGGCTGTCTGTGGTACGGGCGCATATGACAACTATGGATTGAGGTAAGCCAACTCGTGACTGCTGGTGGGCGTAATTGGGATGAAGGGATGGAAAGATGTAAAAGAAGGTGATACTATTCTTATGTACTTATTGCATTTTGACTGACGCTAAAAACGTAGTGGATTTTGGCAAGTATGGAGTGCCTGACTCACTAGATGAGGATAGGTTAGACTCACTTAGAGTGGACAGATTAGCACCATGTGCCCACAAGTTGACTCTGGGCGTAGAATTCCATAGATTATAGCATACGGTGCGCGCGATGGTTGATACTAAATGGCCAATATATCGCCTATCCAGAGGACGGATGATCCCAAATCCTATCAATAAATGCAAAAAATTGATTCATCAATTCTCTCTGAAACCAAAGCCAGTATCAATGGCTAAAAGAATCAGTGTGCTTTCATCACCGATACCCAAGTAGAGCAAGCTACCCTACGTTATTTTAACCGTAAAAAGGGATTTCTGCACAGTGGTAACTCCTTAGATGTCATCCAAAAGGTGAAATCAGTCCACGGATGTTTCGGAGGGTTATATTAAAATCCAGATTCACGATTCTCGAAACCGGTCTACTCCATTGGTAGGCACATAGATCAAATTTTTATTTCAGCATTGTGTGAATGGCATTCCAGACCAAGGCTTCTTAGCTTACATACATGTGAACGAGGTGTAACGCCACCCAAGATTGTCCTTAACACTTCAATCTTGACATGTTTATATAAGCAGGGACAGGTAAGTCTACATAATGGAGAAGAAAGAACCATTTCGGGCTTGACACCTCTATTCCTGCGTGATATCTGGATGGTAAGCTTCACTATTGCTGCGTTTTAAACCGCTTAGTAAGTAAGATAGGCGAAAAGCTTTCACGGTTGTCGAAGCTGATGAACCCTTTGTGTCCCCTTCCTCATGCATATCTTAGTGGCGATTTTCATCCCTTCTTGGCGCTTGACAAATAGCCATACCTATATTGTGTTCAGGACAGATTAATACTTCCAAATTTGAGATTGTTTAAAAGGAGTGTTGTTACAGCACCAAGTGTGCTCCATTTCAGCTCGCTCTGTGAGCCTCCCTAGTGTAAGTACTATTAATCGAATTGCATAGCAAAGACACTAAGCGTGTGCTCGCATAAGCCAGTCGAAGTGATTAATCAATTTATTTATTTCAATTATGACTCACAATTTAAACAAGTGAACATCTGCTC